GCCCTTGGACCTCCTTGTCGAGACAGTGCCAGATTGTGGGTCGTTTATAGCCAAAATAAGGAGTCTCAAAGAAACCCTTAAAGTGATGCCTACTAGGAGGTAGTCTAAGTGCATAAAAACCGAAGAGGTAGCTCCGACGCTGAGGATGGGGCACTTATTGTGGTTAGATCTTGCTGTTTCCTTGCCGTTGCAGTTTTACAAATATCATAAAATGTGGGGATATAGGCAGTCTGAATGCACACGTTTTGATGCAGTATTATGACCTGAAGGCCTCAACATTTATCTGGACTGGAAATGATTCGAGATTTGTGTGATGGGCAACTGGAGGGGGCAGCAATTGGTTCAACTGAAGTAACCTTCACACCAGAGAAGATCAAAGGTGGAATCCACACAGCAGATACCAAGACAGCAGGGTATGTATACCTTGAGATCTGTTTAGGTATGGGTTTTGCATTCAGATCTAGGTTCTACCACTTACTATGCAAGTTGCTTAACCTCTTTGAACTTCAGTTTTCTCACTTCTTTTTTTTTTTTTTTTTTAGTTTTTCATCAGGTTAAATTTTTTTCTTTTTTAAAAATTTTTTATTTTAATTTGCTATATATGACAGCAAACTGCATTACAATTCATATTACACATATAGAGCACAAGTTTTCATATCTCTGGTTGTATACAAAGTATAGTCATACCATTCGTGTCTTCATACAGGTACTTAGGGTAATCATGTCCGTCTCATTCCACCATCTTTTTTACCTCCTTGCCCCCTCCCTTCCCCTTCCTCCCCTTTGCCCTATCTAGAGTTCCTGTAATCTTCCCATGTTCCCCCTCCCAACCCCAGCCGCCTCAGTTTTCTTACTTCTAAAGTGTAAATAAAATACCTTTGACGTTAAAGACAATGAATATAAAATTTGGGCACCTAATTGAAATGTTATCTTGTATGTAGTATGATATAGCATTTTTATTATTATTTAGAAGTTGAGTGTCACAAATTGACTTGAGTTTTCACTTTCAGTATTTGCATTATAGCTCAAGTTCTTTTCTTACAGTTAATTATAAACCATAGTCTACTACTTTCTTTTTTTTATTATTTATTTTTTAGGTGTAGTTGGACACAACACAATGCCTTTATTTTTGTGGGGTGCTGAGGATCCAACCAGGGTCCTGCCGGTGCTAGGCGAGCACTCTACTGCTGAGCCACAATCCCAGCCCCATAGTCTACTACTTTCAATGTGGATATTTTTATTGCTTTGTGTGTGTGTGTGTGATGGGGGGGTTGCTGGTCCAACTCATGGCCTTGTTCACACTTAGCTCTACCACTAAGCTATCTACCCCAGCCCTCTGTTGTCTTCTAAGATATACTTATACAACTCTACTTAGAAATTTTTGGATATAATCCTGATTTTTCCCCCCACTGGGAGATGAATATTTAACAATTAAATTGATCCTTGATAACTTTCTAAGTGCTTCTCCCTTTATTGACAAAATGTGGATAGTAGTTAATTCCTCCCCCATCCCCCCACTTAGTGATAGGGATTGAACCCAGGAATGCTCTGGGTTAGCACTCTAAGCTACTCTAGTTCTTTTTGGTTTTAGTTTTGATACAGGGTTTTCTTAAGTTGTCCAGGCTGACCTTGAACTTGTGATCCTCCTGCTTCAGCCTTCTGAGTTGCTGGTATGCTGCTGCACCTGGCTAGCAGTTAATTTTCATGTTACTTCTCTAATCTATTTGACTGGTCGCTTTTGTGTGTGTGTGTATGTGGTGCTAAGGATTGGACCTATTGCCTCATGCATAGGCAAGTGCTCTACCACTGAGCTCCATCCCTAACCCTTTTTATCTAATAGAAGACAATAAAGCAGTAGGGAGCATATCACTAAACTGTCCAGGCTTACCTCAACTTCAAATCCTCCTGCCTCAGCCTCCTGAGTAGCTGGAATTACAGGCATGTGCCACCATGCCTGACTTTAGCCTTGATTGTGATTACAGGACCATGTGTTTTCTCAAGTGTCTACTTTATTTACTATTCCTTACTCTTCTCAAATTAAGGTTTTCTTTAGTGTTTTTAAAATCTGATTTTATTGGGGAGAAATTAAATATTTGTTGGATCACTTAGGATCAATGAGTTGAATAGGTATAAAACTATGATTAGTAGTTAACTAAACATTTCCAAGCCCTTTTCTTCCAATTCTAAACACTTTAACAGTCAATAAATATTTATTAATCAGTCAAACTTATTACCAGTGATAAAAACTTTCTAGTTCAGTATGTATGGGCCTTTGTTTTAAGAAAGTAAAGATCTTTCTTTTGGTATGTAAAAGCTATATTGGATTGCATTTCAAACTATGATCTACTTATGAGTATTATTACTTTCTCTGTAGAGAAGGGCGATAACAGCTCATTTAGAAAATCTGACCAAATTTTTTATTTTATAAAATACTTCATGTTCTATGTTCATTTATTGTGGTTTCTCACATTATTTGACTATATGGACAGAACTTTTTCATGTGAAATACTCAGCTTTTAGTCTTTATAAAATACTTTTCTTTGATATTAAACTCTATGTGAGAGAAATTACATCGATCCCTCCCCCATTTTCCAACTTTATTGAAGTGTAGTTTATAAATAAAATTATGAAGAAGGTATATATCATGATATTTTGATATATATTTATGTTGATAAATAATTACCAGTCAAGCTAAATAACATTTTCATCACCTTTCGTAATTACCTTTCATATGTGTGTATGTGGTAAGAATCTGCTGTCTTACAAAATTTCAAGTAAGGCATTACATCTTAACTTGATATTTTGAACAGTGCCTTATGCATGATAACTCAGATAGAAACAGTTGAATATTTCTAGATCTTGACTATTTTGAATCCATTTTCATAAATTGCTATTTTCAAGAATCCTTTTATTTAAAAAAAATTGAAGATGGTTTTATTATTTTATTTATTTTTTTGTAAAGAAAAGGGTCAGAACTTAGCCAAGATCACCCATCTAATGTAGTGATGTGCTTTAGTCTTGAATTCAGAGGTTTGCGTATCTTTTTTTTTTTTTTTTTAAATCATGCTATATAGGAAACTAGGACCTCATTCATGCTAGGCAAGCGCTGAATCAAGGAACATCCCAGCCTCGTTTGCTTATCATTAGAAGCAATTCTTTGTGAAATACTTTCTTTAAGATTCAGGATTTTACAATTCAGAAACAAATCTCTTTTAACTTTACATTTAGCTATGCTTCAACTAAGTAATGTAATAAATTATAATTCAGCTTTTTTTGAAACTTTGAAAAGTCTGTTTTGCCTTCTCCTTAGGAGTGTGTGCCTCTTGATGCAGGTTTCAATGCCATGTGTTCTGTTTGCTGCTTCTCCATCAGAACTTCATTTGAAAGGTGGAACTAATGCTGAAATGGCACCACAGATTGACTACACAGTGATGGTAAGGGTTTTTGTTGTTAATGACATACTGAGATGATCTCATATATACTTCTGAATATCTATTCTCTATTTAAATATATTCTGAATATTTTGTATATGTTGCTATTTATTCATGATGTCCAGTTCTGCTGTAGGAGAGAGTGGGAAATTGTTTATTTTAGACTTTGTATTATATTTTAGAATAGTATTTATAGTGAATTTTTAAAAAACTAAATGTGATTATTAAATAAATTATGTCAGTTATTAGGTAAACCCACTACTTTATAAATATAGGAATTATGATTTAGAAGGGAACTCAAAAAATTTTTAAATGATAATATTTAATGCTGGCGTGCTTATACAACTCATGGGAAAGAAGAGTAGTACAGGTTGAGCATCCCTAATCAGAAAATTAAAAATATAGAATGCTCCAAACTCTAAAACTTTTGAACACCAACCTGGTGCCACAAGTGGAAAATTCTCCACTTGACTTCATGTGGTAGATTGCAGTCAAAACAAAAGATAGACTAAAAATGTTGTATAAAATTACTTTTGGATTATGTATATAAGGTGTCTATGAAACAAATAAATTTTGTATTTTGATTTGGGTCTCATCGCCAAGATATCTTATTATGTTCATGTACATGTAAAATTGAAAACAGTCTGAAACTCAAAACTCTTCTGATCGTGAGCATTTTGGAAAAGGGATATTCCAAGTTTATTGTGGCATAATTCCTTACAATTAAATTCACCCTTTTTAATGTGCAGTTTGATGATTTTGGATAACAAACATTTATCTGTAAACCAACCACCACAATAAAGATATATAATACTTCCATTACTCTAAAAATTCCCTTATCCCCGTATTAGGCAGTCCTGTCCCACAGTCCCTTGGCAACCACTTTTCTGTTTTCAGTCATAGTTTTGCCTTTTTTTTTTTTTTTTTAAGAATTTCATGTAAAGGAATAATACTGTTATGTAGCCTTTGAGTCTAGTTTTTCATTTGCCTTAGTAAACTTTAGACTCACAGTGTTACTTGTATTAGCAATAAAAACTAAATAGTAAGTATATGAATATGTCAGCTTGTTTATTTAATCATCTGTTGAAGGGCATTTGAGTTGTGTCCAGTTGGGGGAAATTATTATTTTTTCTGTAGCACTGGAGATTAAACCCAGGGGTTCTGTACCACTGAGCTATACCCCCAGCCCTTTTTATTTTTTTGAGACCAATCTCTCTAATTACCCAGGCTGACCTTGAACTTTTCATTCTCCTGCCTCAGCCTATTGAAGCACTGGGTTTACGGGTGTGTACCACTGTACCTGGCAGTTTTTGGCATTTATGAATGAAGTTGGTGCCAACATTTATGTTTAAGTTTGGCTTAAACATAAATTTCCAGTTCTCTTGTATACTTAGAAGTAGGATTTCTGGGTTATTATAGTATAAATTTCCAGTTCTCTTGTATACTTAGAAGTAGGATTTCTAGGTTATTATAGTATAAATTTCCAGTTCTCTTGTATACTTAGAAGTAGGATTTCTGGGTTATTATAGGAAGTACATGTATAAATTTATGAGAAACTGCCAAAACTTGTGGCATCCAAAATAGTTATGCTATTTTGTTCAGCTTTTTCAATAGTCTATTATGAGAGTTCCAGCTGTTCACCATCCTACCCAGCACTTGTCATTCTTAGGTTTTTATTTTTAAAATTTTTCTGCTTCTCTTTTTTATGGTAGTGGGAATTGAACCCAAGGCCTCACATATGATAGGCAAGCACTATACCACTGAGCTATAGTCCTAGGCCAGCCCCTTTTTTTTAACCAAAGTTTAGTAACATCTATACCTCCTGCATACTATGGAGAAAACCTAGAAAAATGAGTAAATCTCTAGAGTAGATCTTACAAGTTGCCTTAGACTTCAGGATTAAATATTGTTTTTCTCTGAAACATTGCCAACCTAATGGATAGTATAATATATTTAAAGTCAGTGTTATAGATCATATAATGAAATTAGTTTCTCTTTGGTTAGTAATTCCACTTCAAGCAAACTATCCTAATAAAATAGTACAAAATGTAGCAAAAGGTGAATGTTAAAGGATTTGAGTAGAGAATTAATATATATCATTATGTAATCATGAAAACTTAGGAAATGGTTAAATAAGTAATGCTCAAATGCCATGCAATTGTTTAAGTTTAATTTCGGAAGAATTTTTATTGTGTCAGAAAAATGCTTACACTTACAATGTTAAGTGGAAGAAATAAGAATAAAACATTTTATTTGCAGTGAGATTTCAGCTTTATAAAAAAATTGAGAGGGCAGAATAAAGTGTTGTTTACCAGTGCCCCTACTTTTTTTTACAGCGTACTGAGAAGGGTCAGTAATGGTTTCTGGAGTAGAATAAACATTGGGTTCAAGTATTCTGAGTTCTGAATTTTTTTCTCATTAGACTTGCATGGCCCTGATTTATTAAATGTTAAACTTTTAAATTTAGCAAATACAAGTTTTTTTTTCACTTGAAAAATGGAACTAGTCTATATATTTTGATACTACAGTTTACTTATAACACTCAATTACTAATTCAGTACGGAGCACTTTTCATTTAATAATTATACTTGTTGAATCAGTGAATATTGGTGGTTGCAATAACAATTGATTTTTTTCAGGTCTTCAAGCCAATTGTTGAAAAATTTGGTTTTAATTTTAATTGTGACATCAAAATGAGGTAAGTTACTTATTTCTTTGCCTTTTCCATCTATTATTATGCTAAATTAGCATAGTGGAAAATTTAGACCTTGGAGAACTAATACACTTAATAAATTACCCTTAAAACATTTCTTGTCAAATAATTGTACTTTACAGCTTAAGAACAGTAAGCTGCAAGGGTGTGGAGCCTTGAAAGCAACTACATGTGATATTTACTTGTTTCTTGGGAGAAATATTTTCAAGGGAATTTCCACATGAAAGCATCTTCATGTCTAATGTTATCCATGCACAGATTAAATGGTCAAGTTGTGCAGACACTTGAGCCAGGCACTGTAGGGTCATAAAAAGATTCTCTTCTATAGTGTGATCAGAATTATTTTTTTAAGAAGCACATTGGGCATTTGGTTTTTTTTTTTTTTAAATCATTTTTAGTTGTAGATGGACACAATACCTTTATTTTATTTCTTTATTTTTATGTAGTGCTAAGGATTGAACCCAGTGCCTTACATATACTAGGCAAGTGCTTTACTGCTCAGCCCCAGCCCCAGCCCCATTTGGGTTATTTCTTTGGTCTTCTTCTGTTATACAATGACAAGGTTAAATTTCATGGCATCTCATTTAAGTGCATTGCAATCTTGCTCCAATTTGCCTTCCTAGCTTCATCTTCTTTCTCCTTTTTTTCAACTTGTCCTACATTCTAACACCACAATTACATGCTATTCCTTGAACATACTTTGTATCTTTGAAGTTCACATCTTTGTGTAATTCTTTTTGTATTCTAAAAAATGGGAAATCCTGTTTTTTCTAAATAAAATTTGTGATTTCCTGTATGAACTCTCTGTGGCTGTACCTCTATCAGAATCCATATTTGCACTTCTGTTGTGGTCCTCCTTACATCTTGTGTTGTATTCTAGTCAACTGTATAAGGGTACCATTGCCCTATTAGATGGAGAACTGCTTGAGGATAGGCACAGTGTCCTTCTCAGCAGCTGAAATGGAATAAATGAGTATGAATAATTGAGTTTAGATTCTGTTAGTGTCAGCTATTTATAATCATCAGCTATTTATTTGAGTTCCTACTGTGTACCAAACATTGGGTTAGGACCTGGAAAATAGTAGGAACAAAACAACTCCAGATATCAAGGAACCTATGTTTTAAAACAAACTTGTCAAATAGAACTTTCTACATTGAGAAATGTTTCCTATCTATGCTGTCCAGTATGGTAGTCACTAACCGAATGTGACTACAGAGCACTTAAAACATGGCTAATGCAATTGGGGAATTGAATTGATTTCTAAACTATGTTTAATTTTATTTGCTTCTTTGTTTTTATTAAAACTTTTTTTTTTTTTTAAAGGAAGCATCGATATGCTTCATTGCCCAGACTGTCCATGAACTCATAGGCCCAGAGGATCTCCTGCCTCAGTCTCTTGAGTAGGAGTAGCTGAGACTGTAGGAGAATGCTGTCACACTTGGCTTGGGGCTGGCAATTGAACTCAAAGCCTCATGCATGCACCACTGAGCTATACCTCCAGCCATAAATTTTATTTCACTGTAATAGTCACATGCAGCTTGAGGCTACTATATTGAACAGTCCAGACCTAAAATATGATTTAGAATTTTTTCATGAATTGCATATTTGGCTACCATTCACATTATTTTAATATAATATTGTGCTTTATTTTTGTCATGCGATTAGTTTATGTGGATATTTATCACACTTTTTATAGGGGCTATTATCCAAAAGGTGGTGGTGAAGTGATTGTTCGGATGTCACCAGTAACACAGTTGAACCCAATAAATTTGACTGATCGTGGCTCTGTGACTAAAATATATGGAAGAGCTTTTGTTGCTGGCGTTCTGCCATTTAAAGTAAGTTGTCTAAATGTTCTTAGAAGTGTGTGCATGCCTTGGTAAGTATCATCTAAATTTTGAAATTATTAGGACTTATTTTTTAATCCATCTTTACATTAAAAATTTTCTTCAAACTCAGTGCTCTCTCTCTAGAAAATCAAGTTTTAAAATGATACATATAAAAATTAATCATTTTATGTGCCTTTAAAGGCTTGGAAACAATTGTTCAAATAATCAATAATTAATATTGTATCATTTTGTTTTTTTCTATCTTGCCAAAATAGGTAGCAAAAGATATGGCAGCAGCGGCAGTGAGATGCATCAGAAAGGAGATCAGAGATCTATATGTTAACATCCAGCCTGTTCAGGAACCCAAAGACCAAGCATTTGGCAATGGAAATGGAATAATGTGAGAAAATATACTCTCTTAGATATGATTGAGAGCCCTGAAATAGTTACTGTGTTGCTTAGCTTTCCATTGTTATGAAATACCTGAGGTTAACAATTTAAAAGGAGAAAAGATTTATTTTAGTTCACGGTTTCAGAGTTTCAGTCCATGGTTGCTTGGCTTCATTGTTTTGGGGCCTGTGGTGAGGCAGAATATCAAGGCAGGGAGTGCTTGATGGACTAAAGCTTCTTACCTCATTTTCATCAAGAAGCAAATTGAGAGAGGGAAAGAGAGAGGAAGGGGCTGGGCTCCAGTATCCCCTTGAAGGGCATGCTCCCCTTAACCCAACTTCCTTCTGCTAGGGCCCACCTCCTAAAAGTTCTACCACCTCTCACTAGCATCATCAATTAGCCACCAAGCCTTCAACACATGGTCTTTGGGGGACTTTTAAGATTCAAGCTGAGAGTGACTGTTATCCTATTTAAATTAAAGATTTCAAGTTTTTGTGCTCATTTGATAGTTTTTTTTTTAAAAGAGAGAGAGAGAGAGAGAATTTTTTTGATATTTATTTTTTAGTTTTTGGCGGACATAATATCTTTGTTTGTATGTGGTGCTGAGGATCGAACCCGGGTCGCACGCATGCCAGGTGAGCGCGCTACCGCTTGAGCCACATCCCCAGCCCCTCATTTGATAGTTTTAAGAAGACATGTTTTTAAGGGGATTTCTACCTAAAAACAATAGTATGATGAATTAAGATGATTTTCTGAATTTTTTCTGAGGATGTTTTGCCTTTTACTACTCTGTAAGATCCTTTTCACTTATACAGTTAGCCCTCTGTATTCATGGGTTCTGCATCCATGGATTCAAATGACCAATTTAAATTTGACCAGATTAAAAAATAACTTTAAAAAAACCAAAACTGAGCATAGTGGTGCATACCTGTAATTCCAGCAGCTTGGGAGGCTGTGGCAGGAGGATCAAGAGTTCAAAGCCAGCCTCAAAAAAAGTGAGGTACTAAGTAACTCAGTGAGATCCCGTCTCTAAATAAAATACAAAATAGGGCTAGGGATGTGCCTCAGTGTGTGAGTGTAATCCCTGAAAAAGGAAAAGAAAGAAATGAAATTGTGTCTATACTAAACTTTTTTTTATCATTCCCTTTTTTATCATCAAACACTTTTTTCTTATCATTCCCTAAACAATACAGCTTAACAACTATTTATATATTGTGTACATTGTATTTGGTATTATAAGTAATCTAAGGATAATTTAAAGTAATAGAGGACATGTGTAGGTTGTATGTAAATACTGTGCTGTTTTATATAAAGGACTTGAACATCCTTGGATTTAATGTACAATGGGGATCCTAGAATCCATCCTCCTGAATACTTAGGAGTGAACTTAAATGTTAAAGGTAATCAGAAGTTAGGCTTTGAAGGTGATCCTAAGAGAAATGTTTTTAGTTGCTTAAAATACCTCAACTCTGAAATTAACTCACAATGGTAAAGATCGCCTTAATAAAGGAATATGATTATTAGTGTTACTCCAATTAGAAGTTATGGTTTTATTTTATTATAAAAATGCTTTGATATTTTTGGATTGTAAAAGTACGGTTATTTTTTGTAGATATTTACATTTCGAATTCCCTTATTCAGAGTTTCTGTTAAAGGGTTTAAACTAAATACTTACTTTAATAATGTAATGCTATCTAAAAACTACAGAATAAAACCTAAAATCCTTACGTAAAGACATTTTTTATTAAAAGAAGATTATAAAATACTGTATAGTACTGTGTGAAATGGTACCACTTTGCACCAAAAATATGATAACTTCCAGGGATACGGACAGGTGGTGGCATCCTTTATCTATGAGTGAACTAGAATTAGATATGACTTCTCCCATTCTAGCCCTGAAGGATATTATTGGCTGATGGAGAATGTTAATCAGACTACTCTGTGTAGGAAGAATTTCGCCATTGCAGTGTACTGGCCGTGTGTCATTTTGTCTATTTAACACTGTTCTTCTGTGTCTTATTTATTATAATTTTAGAATGTTTGTAGCCTAAGAGTAATACTTGTTTTTTCCCTATATGTAGAATTATTGCTGAGACATCCACAGGCTGTTTGTTTGCTGGATCATCACTTGGGAAACGAGGTATAGTTAAATGAAAGTGGATCCATAGTTCCTACTGCCAGTAAAAATTAATGTCAGGATTGAAATGTTATAGGGAATGATGGATGACAGGTTTAAAAGGCTACTGTTAACTATTTTTTAAAAAATTTTAGTTGTAGATGGACATAATACCTTTATTTATTTTTATTCTTTATGTGGTGCTAAGGATCGAACCAAGTGCCTCAAACATGTGAGGCAAGCACTTTGCCACTGAGCTACAACCCCAACCCAGTTAACTAATTCCTAGAGTCAATTAAACTTTAAATCTTTCTCCTATTTTTATACTTTGAAAATTTTTAGACCTATAAGAAAAGTTGAGTGACTAATTCAACTAGTCATCTACACACCCTCTCCTAGATTCATTAGTTGTGAACATTTGGTTGTGTGGTATGTGTGCTTCTGAACTGCTTCAATGTAAGTTATAGACACCATGCCTTACTCCTGAATACTGCAGCGTATAGATTCAAAAACAATATCAATATAATCACAGTATTGTTTTATTTTTAAACATTTATTTTTTAGTTATAGGCGGACACATATCTTTATTTTATTTTTATGTGGTGCTGACAATCGAACCCATACCACAACCTTAACCCCCAAAGTATTGTTTTTATATCTGAAGAATTTGTCTATGATATGCAGACACATCAGATGTGTTGTCTCCAAAATATTCTTTAGAGCAATGTGATATATTTTTGAAGTACAAAATACTTTCTCATTTTTTTTTTTCCATTCATGATACTGACATTTTTGAAAAGTCTAGGCCATTTTCTTTCTTTTAGGTCATTTTCTCACAGAATTTCCCACAATTAGGATTTTTCTGATTATCTCATGATTAGATTATTCAAACCAAATATTTTTAGTAACAATATTACATCAGTGATTTTGTGTCTATACCACTACATTGCATCAAAGGGCATGTAAAGTCATTTTGCTCTTTATTGGTAAGGCTGAATGTGATCACATGGTTGAGGAGGAGTCCTCCAGATCTACTTGCTATAAAGGTTTCTTTTCCTTTTACAATCATTAAATAGTCTGGGGTAATACTTAGAGACTATCTGATATTCTGTTTTCATACAACTTTCATCCAGTGGTCTTAATATCTATTGATGTTTCTTCCTTTATCAGTTATTACACTGATTATTAGAAAGTACTGAATATTTGGAGGAAAAATAAATCTGTTTTTAAGATTGGCATATTAAGAAGAGGAGATGCATACATTTGTTTGTTTGTTACCCAGGGGCACTTTACCACTTAGCTACATTTCCAACTATTTTATTTTGAGACAGGGTCTTGCAAAGTTGCTAAGGCTGCCCTTGAACCTGTGATCCTCCTGCTTCATCCTCCTGAGTCGCTGGGATTACAGTGTCCATCACTGCATCTGGTGGTTAACATTTAAAGTTTTGCTAGTCAGGCAACTTCTAGTTATTTATGGTAATTAATTGCTTCATCCTACTTTGTAGCATCTTTTTTTTTTAATATTTATTTTTTAGTTGTATTTGGACACAATACCTTTATTTTATTTATTTATATGTGGTGCTGAGGATCAAACCCATGGCCTTGCATGTGCTAGGTAAGCACTTTACCGCTGAGCCACAACCCCAACCCTACTTTGTAGCATCTTTTAAAAATGCTTATGCTAGCCAAGCATGGTGGCATCTACCTGTTGTCCCAGATACTCAGGAGACTGAGGCAGGAGGATTACAGGTTCAAGGACAGCCTGGGAAATTTAGTGAGATCCTGTCTCAAAACCAAAACAAAAATGCTTCCACTAGCTGTGCTGTTTAACCTCATTATTAACTATTGAATACAAAATAAATTCAGATGATTTTAGCTTGCTAGATGATTCGATCTATACACTATACATCATATAATTAACATAATAGAAGAAGTAAAATCAACATCTCTCTGGGTATGATGTGTAGGCCTATAGTTACTCAGGTTCCTGAGCAAGGCAGGAAGATTCTTAAAGCCTACAAGTTCAAGACCAGCCTTCGTAACATAGTGGGACCCCCATCACTAAAAACAAAGGGAAAAAAATCAAAATCTCCAACTCACATAATGAGTTCTGTCTAAATCTCTGCTGTTCACAGTGTGGATGGGAGGCAACAGGAAATCACTATCATCTGGGAGTTTTGTTAGAAATACAGATATGGGGCCTAACCTAGACCTATTTGAATCGGTGGAGGGTGAAGGTATGGCTAGTGGTAAAGTCCTTGCCTAGCATGTGTGAGGCTCTGGGTTTGATTCCCTGAAAGTGAGACCTAAGAATTTGTTTTAACAAGTTCTCCAGGTACTTCTAAAGTATCTTGAAGTTTGGGAAGTATTGATCTAAAATATATATTAGTATATATTTACTACCTATTAGGCACAGTGAGGAATCAGTGTGGATACTTAGCCACTGCATGCAATATCTACAAGTCTTGAGAAGCAAAAATAATGCAAATATAAAGCAGAGAGCAGGAGCAGACATATTATAGATAATAAGTATTTGATGGACATTGGGAAATTTATGAGTTCTATTAGTTTTATTATTGGGTACCACAAATGTGCCAAGTACTATGTACTAATTATTTACAAGTGAGAGCTACTATGCCTAACTGCTGACCTAGTCTGGTGGAGAAGACAGACCGGTGCTGATAGTGTTATCCCAGGGTACCATAGAGATAAATGCAAAGAAAGAAAAACTAATACTTCTGTGGAGGATGAGTAACTCCAATTCTGCCTTTTGCTATTCATTGATCTTTCATCAGGGGGATAAATAGAAGCCAGGAAGAAAAGTGAGAGCTAAGGTGAATTGCTGCAGCTATCATGGAAAATAGTAAGACATTCCTAAACAAACTAAAAACAATTGCCATGTAACCCCGCAGTCCCTTTTCTGAGTATATACCCAAAAGAAATGAAATTGTCTCAAAGATTTATTGTATTCCCATGTTTATTGAAGCATTTTTCATAATAGCCAGAATATGAAAACAACCAAATATACTTCCATAGATGAATGAATAAAGAAACTGTGGTATATATACACATGAAAATATTATTCAGCATTAAAATAGGATGGACGTGGAGCAAAATGAAATAAGCTAGATACAGAAAGAAAAATGTTGTATGATCTCACTTATATGTGGAATCTAAAAAAAGAAAAGATCAAATATAGAGAAAGTAAGAGTGGTTTACCACGATGAGGTAAGGGGGAGGAAATGGGGAGCCGTAGGTCAAAGGATACAGAATGATAGATCTGAAGAATGAACAAGTCCAAAAATCTGGTATACAACATGAGAACTATAGGTAATTATAGTGTATGGTAGTCAGGACTTTTGTTAAAGGAATAAATTATAGTTGCTCTTGTTTTAGGTGGGAGAATGGGTAACCAAGAGATGATATATTAATGTTTCATTAAAGTAACCATTTTACTGTAATGTATCTCAAAACATTGCCTTTATATTTAAAGGTATATCAGTATTTTAAATATATATTTTTTAGTTGTAGATGGACACAATAGCTTTATTTTGTTTATTTATTTTTATGTGGTGCTGAGGATTACACCCAGTGCCTCATAAGTAAGAGCAAGCACTCTACCACTGATCCACAACCCCAGCCCCAAAATATATATATATTTTTAAATATTTATTTTTTAGGTGTAGATGGACACAACACAATACCTTTTTTATTTTTATTTGGTGCTGAGGATAGAACCCGGGTTTTGCCCGTGCTAGGGGAGCACTCTACCGCTGAACCACAATTTTTTAAAGTAAGCTAAGGAGCAGGGACATATTCTGTCAATATTTTTTGATAGAAAAAGATGTTTTTCTGTGCTTAAGTAACTGCAGTATATATGATAAGTACAGGGTCTGGGTAGGGGATGGAGGAATGGAGGATAATGAGAATAGAGAGGTCAACAAGGGCCAGATTTTTTTTTTTTTTTTCCACTGGGGATTGAACCCAGAGGTGCTTTGCCCGACCCCCGCTTTTTGGGGTGGGGTTCTTGGGATTGAACTCAGGGGCACTTAACCACTGAGCCACATCCCCAGCCCTTTTTTTGGATTTTTTATTTAGAGACAGGTTCTCACTGAGTTACTTAGGGCCTCAATAAATTGCTTAGGATGGCTTTGAACTGAGATTCTTCTGCCTCAGCCTCCTGAGCCTCTGGGATTACAGGTGAGCCACCATGCCTGGCTTACCTGACCCTTTTTATTTTTTGAGACAGTGTCTCATTAAGTTGCTTGGGGTCTCACTAAGTTGCTGAGGCTAGCTTTGAACTTGTGATACTCATGTCTTAACCTCCTGGGTCACTGAGATTTCAGGCATGCATCACTGTGCCAAGCTAAAGACCATATTTTGAAGGGCTATAGGCTACATAAAGGAAATTCGAGTGTCATACTGAAAATATAAGGATTTTAAGGATGAATATGAAAGAGTCTGTTACAATTCAGATCAGACATGGTGAGGTTTTGCAACAAGGAATGCAGTGACTGGTTCCAAGGACATTGAGTACTGATAATCAGGTATTTAAAAAGGTGAACAGTTTGTTGACCAGTTGGATATTGGAAGTATGGGAGGCATTGTGAAGAAAACATTCCAGGTGTCTTAACTTAGGTAACTAGGTACATTTAAATGTGTGAATATAGGAAGTAGAGTTAGTTTGTCATCATAGACAATAATTTTAGATATGTTGAATTGAGATTGTAAAGGGACCATAACCGTAATTTTAACGTATGCAATATGTTAACCAGCCCTGAAATTTTTTCTCATATTCTGTCAATATTTTTTCTCACTTTGTCATATGAGATAATATTTACTTTGAAGTTGTCTTTGGATATCACACTTGCAAAGTGTTCAGTACTGATTTTTATACTTACCGTGTTTGAAGAAGATAGAGATGAGAACAACAGACTTGCTGACATTGACTGATTGTCCTCCCTTGTGTCAGGCACCTCAGTTAATGTCATTAGTGAATGCAAGGGCAACTTGGGGTCTTCCCTCTCTTAATCTAGGTTCTCTTTATATTAAGGATCTCAGAGATAATGTCATAACTACCATTATCCAGATCCCCTTTTATTTCTGATTTAAATTAACTAGAAAATTACTGGACCCTGAATCCTAATGTCTAAGTATTATTACCAGAAGCAACTTCAGCTGGTTGTCAATGCCAGAATATGTGGTAGAAGCAGGAAGTTGTAGCTAGTCATGCTTTTGTAATTGTCTTAGTTACTAAAACAAAAATTTTTATCTTCGTTTTCTTATCTGTTACATAAGAGAATTAGCCTGGAGAATCCCTAAAATCCTAAATTTTAGACCTATTATTCTGTATAATGACCCTGGGCTTTCCTTATCTGAAAAATGGTATTGGACCATGATCTGCATATAAGGATCCATTCCAACTTTACTTGATTGGATTGTGAACATAATGTAAGACTGAAGGACTGGAGGTGTAGCTCAGTGGAAGAGTACAAGCAAAGCCATGGGTTCAATTCCCAGCACTGAAAAAAGAAAAAGAAATGAATATTGTTGAATTTGTGTGTTGCTTGATTACTTTTTGGTTTGGGGGTTTTATTTTGGGTTTTGTTGTTTGTTTGTTTTGGTAGTACTGGTGGTTGAATCCAAGGCCTAATAAGTGATAGGCCAGCACTCTTCTTGTGAGCTACATTCCCAACCTTATTTGATTACTTGTCTCTCAGTTAGTTATGTTTTTACTATGGGAGCAAAACAATCTGCATTGCATCTGTACAGAAATTTACTTATAGAAAGCACTTTTCTTTCCTCATTCAGTATATGGTAGTCATTCAGGGAATCTTTCCAGTATCCTGAAGTAAGTCCTTTGGCCTTCTCCGTTCAGTCTGATGACCATTTTTTAAAGTTTTGTCCTTTTAATAAGCTAGAAGACACCCAAATCATTGAATATGCATTAAAGTTGAAACCTTTTTTTTATTTAAAGAAACATGCAAAATATGAAAAGACTCTTTGTCAATTAGGTAGAAAAGCATTAAAGTTTCAGAAGAAATTAAGATTTTGTTCTTTTTTGGGACAGCATAATACTACCAAACAAAATTCTATTTTCTTCATATGTTCAGTTGTCACAAGCTGTTAGTAATGACTGGTAATAATGTAGATCCATGCATACTATTTTTCACTATCAAGGTGGCTGGGTAGGAATGAATATGAATAGCTCTGAGAAATATTTTGCCACTTGACAGAAAACTTCAGTGTATGTTCTCTCTGGTCCAGGTTGAATATTTCTGATACACTTGAATTTTGAATTTTTTCAGTATTTGTGTGTACATAGTGTGATTTCTTGGGGATGGAACCTAAAACCAAATAACAAAATTCATTTATGTTTTATATATATATCATCTATATATAATTTGAAGGTAATTTTATACAATAGTTATAATAATTTTGTGCATAAAATAGCTTCATGGTGTGCATTTTCTACTCTGGTATGTCAGTGCTCAAAAAGTTTTTAATTTTTGAGCATTTTAGATTTCAGATTTTGGGGGTTAAGAATGTTCATGTAAATTATAAAGCCAGGACTTCTTTCTGTCTTCCATCCCAGTTTTAGGCATCTTTCAAGGATTAGCTTAGGTCTTGTCTTCTCAAATTATTCTAGAACCTGTAATCTTTTTCTTCTCTGAAACTCCTTTTGGATATATAGTTTATACCCAAAGTTTATAGAACTTAGCACTTAACTATCCTTTAATATATAAATACTTTTTATTTTCTTTCTTTTTCTTTTTGTTAATGTTCCCTTAGGAAAAGAACAGGTAGCATTCAGTTCTTAATACTACCATTATTATTATTATTTATTTTTTAGTTTTTGATGGACACAACATCTTTATTTTACTTTTATGTGGTGCTGAGGAACGAACCCAGTGCCCCGCGCATGCCAGGCTAGCGCGCTACCACTTGAGCCACATCCCCAGCCCCTACCATTATTATTAATACCCTATTATATACTGGTCTTGGTAATAAGTACTTTATAAATATTATTTCTGATTTCTATAACTTTATAATATAGTTGTTAATCATCTTCACTTTTTAAAAGAGGAAAAGGAAGGGGCTAGTAGCGTACTCTGTAAGTCAAGAAACTGAGGATGTGGCTCAGTGGTACAGCACATACTTAACATATACAAGGCCCTGAGTTCATCACCTCAATCCCAGCAGCAAAGAAAAAGGTGAAGATTCATAGCAGAATTGAAATCATTCCATATATTTATATAAATTCTTGACCAATTGATGATATATAAAAAAATAGTCTTTACTATGTTATTATTGTAACTGCTATAAGGAAAAACCGAGTTAAAATTATGAAATTTCCACTTTTCTGGGAAATTTTACCAGGATACATGTAATCACATAAATTTGCAATATAAAATAGAAACAAAATTAGCCATATTCTTATTTGTAGCCATGGATTTCATTTAAAGTAGATAACCTTGACTGCAGCCTCAGCTGCTAGATGTTGGGGATTATGATAGCTCAGGCTTCAGATTGTGAGAGAAAGTGAAGAGACAACAACATAACATTTTTGGTATTCTTTATTCTTTATAAACAGGAGTTGAATTTTCCCCTTCTTGAGAGATTCTTGGAGGATCTCTTTCTGATAATTGGCAAAATTGCTAAACAGAATGTGTAGATCCTGTACATTCTCTGGCTTGTAAACCTTGAGTTATGACACTTCTAAACTCTTAAGAACCACACCACATCATTTTGGACCTGCAGCTCTGGCATTCTCAGGGTTTGGGGTCCATCTTCATGTATTGTTTACCTTCAAAGACACAATTAAATGGCTTAGTTGGGTTTTTTTTTTTTTAATAAATAGCCTTAAAAGGGTAATTTGACGTTCTACTACTTCTGACAGATTTACTTTGTATTCAGTGTTATACAAAAGATTTAAGGTATGTTCAGAGAGGTCAGAAGTAGAGGAAGGGGTAAATATTCTGACATTCATAATAAGCTGAAACCTATTTAGATCTTTTTTTTTTAAGATCATGGAAGCAAGCTCTTTCAATTTTATTTCATTGAAGCTTTATAATTGTAAATTATAAATTGTAAACAGTAGTTGGGTTCATCCTAACAAACTCTTACATGCACAGAAATCAATTTCAGTTCATAATCCCCTCCTCTCCCCTTCTATCTCTCCCACTTCCTCTAGTCTACTAGACTTCCTTTCACTTGTCTGTTAATTTGTATTTGATTGGTTCTTTATGTAAATCTTATCCTTCTTTCCCCTTTTTCCTTATTTTACTTGAGCTTCCACATATAAAAGAAAACATTTGACTTTTGAGTTTCTAAGTTTGGCTAATTTCATTTAGCATGATATTCTTCATTTCTACCCATTTACTGGCATGACATAATTTCCTTCTTTTTAATGACTGAGTAGAATTCCATTGTGTGTGTGTGTGTGTGTGTGTACACCACAATTTCTTTTCCTTTTTTTAATACCTTTTATTTATTTTTATGTGGTGCTGAGGATTGAACCCAGCACTTCACATGTACTAGAGCTGTACTGTTGAGCCACAACCCCATCCTATATACCACAATTTCTTAATTAACTCATAATTATAATTAATTAATTCATATTGATAGGCATCTGGGTGATTCCATAATTTAGCTATTGTGAGTTGTGCTGCTGTAAACATTGATGTGGATGTGCTGTTATCTGCTGATTTTAGATCTTTTGGGAAAAAGCAGTAGGATAGCTGGGTCAGATGGTGGTTCCATCCCTAGTTTTTTCAGGAATCTCCAAACTGCTTTCCAAAGTGGTTCCTATTCAAATCTTAAAGGGACTAAAACTTTAAAGTAGTTGACCTAAGAATGTTACCTGCTTTTTTTTTTTTTTAGCTGAAACTTAATTCCCTGGCTTTCTAAAATCCTTTAGTTCTGATAGAATTGTCTGTAGACTAATTATAACTTGTATAAATACCAAGTTTTAAATTTTACAAAGAGGTATACCATTACAAGATCAAAACTTAGTTATAGACTGACTTTATAACTAATACTTTTAAAATAGGCCCAAAGCTGCCTCTTTTTTCCTCCTCTAACTCATTCAAAGGCAGAAGGCATTTGTATATGTGAATCTCTTCAAGTAATTAAATAACTAAAGATCTTGTCCAAAAGGTACTTGAATGAGTTCAAAGGTCTAAAAATGTTATACCACTACTAGCTGATATCAGTTCAACTTTTTGCCTCTCAGTAATTGATCTAGTTTTCTTTTGCATTATGCTTGTCTTAGGTGTAAATGCAGACAAGGTTGGGATTGATGCTGCTGAAATGCTGTTAGCTAATCTTAGACATGGTGGAACTGTGGATGAGTTTCTGCAAGACCAGGTAATGACACTTTTAGCTTGAAAACCTTTCATCCTATTAGATTTGAACATCTGCTAATTGGATCAAATAAAAATTTTGATCATTGAATATTACATACTCATTAGCAAGTCCTATTTTATTACTTTAAAATATTATTCTGGAGTTTATATTCCTAACATTTCAGTCCTCATCCTGTTGTCTACAAAGTTTGACACATTAGCTTCTTTCTTAAAATAATTTCTTTACTTGGACTGAAATAATGTATTTTTCCACCTCACTGGTTATATGTTCTGGTTTCTTTTGCTAGTTTGATATCATTTTCTTCTTCTCAACTTCTAAATTTTGAAGAGCCTCTTGATCTATAGTCACTTCCTTGGTTATTTTGTCCAGTCTCATGGCTCATCTATTTGCAGACGACTCCCAGATTTATATCACTGCCCAGAACACTATTCTTAATTCCTTATTCGTTAGATCTACTATACTTACATCAGTATCTCCACTTGAGTTTTTTATATACTTTACTCTCATTGAGAAGGTCCAAATAATACCTTTTTTGTAGTTCGATGTCTTTATATATTTCCTTTCTACCAAAGGAACGATGCTTAGATCAGTGTCTACATTTAGATATTTATTTCTCAGGCTGGGAGTATGGCTCAGTAGTAGAGCACTTACCTACCATGCCCTGTGTTTGATCCCTACTACCATATACACTGGAATAGGAAGAAAAATATTCCTCAAGATTTCTTGATCATTTTTTTTAATGACAGTTTTCCATGTATACTTACTTCTTGTTCTGGTCTATTCTGTTGTATTCCCAGTAATTCTGTATTAGTTTATTTATTTACCTGTTTTTAAAAAATGTTAAAAATGGGGCATGGTGGCACACACCTGTAATCCCCATGACTTGGGAGGCTGAGACAAGAGACAAGTAACTTAGCAAGTCCTTGCCTTAAAATAAAAATTAAAAGGGCAGGGACTGTAACTCAGTGGTAGAGTACCCCTGGATTCAAACCTCAAAAAATAAAATTATTATAAGAGTAGAGGAAATTTGTCATATTTTATATGTTAGTTTGATGAGATAATTGATCTAATTAAATGTATCAACTTCTCCATATTTTATTCTTAGACATTAATTTTAAAAATTCCATACAGCAAATTGCTGCTAAGCATTTTTATTTCTTTATTTTTGTAGTTGTAGATGGACAGCTTGCCTTTATTTTATTTGCTTATTATATTTTAGTTTATTTTATTTGCTTATTTGCTGCTAAGCATTTTTATACTACATTGCAGACAACATTGTAACAGTTTTCCATCATCTTCTAAGGACTTCTAGAAATCTAAAGAAATAGTAATTCTTTTTTAGCCATCTGATTTCTAGTAGTATTTTCATTGTGAATAGCAGAATTATAATTCTGAACATTAGTAAATGTGTGATACTTTTCTTCTTTTTTTTCAATAGCTGATTATTTTCATGGCATTAGCCAATGGAGTTTCCAGAATAAAAACAGGACCAGTTACACTCCATACACAAACTGCTATACATTTTGCTGAACAGCTAGCAAAGGTAAGTATTGCATTAGAAAGAGTAATGGGGTCATTGTTTAATAAACATAACATGAAGCCCAATGGTAATTGTAATTGCTACTACTCACTGAGTATTTCCTCTGTGGCATTTAGCCAACTCAACAGTTTATATGAAGCATCTTTATTTTATTTATTTATTTTTGGGGTATTAGGTATTGAACCTAGGGACGCCTAAACATTGCACCACACCCTTGGCCCATTTTTATATTTTTGTTTAGAGACAGGGTCTTGATGAGTTGTTTAGGGCTAGCTAAGTTGCTGAGGCTAGCTTTGAACTCTCAATCCTCCTGCCTCAGCCTCTGCTGGGATTACAGGAATGCACCACTGTGCCTGGCTCACTGAAATTTCTTATTCTGCATAACCAGATAGGTAGCTATTTATTATTATTATCTTACCTATGAGTAAAGTGAGGCAGAGAATAAATTCTTCAAGGCCATTTACTTTCTTAGTGCAGAGCTGGGCTTTGAGCAAATCCAGACCTCATATTGCAAGCCCTAAAATTCTAAAGAATTCATAGTTGGCTGTGAAGTTAAGTATTCATATGAAATTTTAAATGTTTTATTTATTTATTTATTTATTTCTCTCATTTGGTTGTTAAAATATTTACTGATATTCTAACATTGATCAATCTTCTTAAATTTAGAGGGGTTTAAGCCAGCCTCAGCAACTTAGCAAGGCCTGGGCAACTTAGTAAGACCTATCTCAAAATAAAAAAATTTTAAAAGGACTGGGGATGAGCCAGGTGCAGTGGCGCACACCTGTAATCCCAGCAGATCCGGAGGCTGAGGCAGTAGGATCAGGAATTCAAAGCCAGCGTCAGCAAAAACCAGGCACTAAGCAGCTCATTGAGATCTTGTCTCTAAATAAAATAAAAATAGGGCTGGGGATGTGGCTCAGTGGTTGGGTGTCCTTGAGTTCAATCCCCAGTTTAACCTCCCCACCAAACAAACAACCAACCACAGAAAAAAAAAAAAAAAAGTACTAGAGAATATGGTTCAGGGGTTGATGCCTTTGGGTTCATGTTCTGGTTTCTTTTGCTAGTTTGTTATCATTTTCTTCTTCTCAACTTCTAAATTTTGAAGAGCCTCTTGATCTATATTCACTCCCTTGGTGTGATCTATATTTACTCACTTTACTCATAGGTAAGATAATAATAATAAATAGAAAGTTTGCAAAATAGAGGGAAAAAAACGGGCTTTAATTCTGCCTTACCAATAGACCCACTGTTGACATATAGGTATTTTCCCCCTAACTTAAATTGTTTCTTCTGATGTTTATAATTAATAGACACCATTTCATTTCTTGTTCTTCTCAGTATATTTCTCTTAGTATATTCTCTCTCTGTCTCTCTCTTTTTTTTTGTTGCAGTAGTGGTACTGAACCAAGGACTAAGATGCATTGCCAGCCCTTTTTATTTTTTATTTTGAGACAGGGTCTTGCTTAGTTGATCAGGCTGGACTCAAGTTATAGTATAATTTTATGAAGTGATATAAAATTTATGGCTCAATTTTATGAAGGTGCTGACCTTATTTTTTTTAAATAAAAATAATGCACACTAGTAAAAATAAGAAATTAAATATTATATATACCAAGTAAAAGCCACTGGTTCTCTACTCTTCTTTTTATATAATTCTTAATAACATATACTCTTTTTTGTTATTATAAAGATTAGATAGGTTTTGATTAAATTTTAGGTAAGGTCTAAGAGAATTAAAGGCAAGATTTTTTTCTGATGAAAAGAGTTAACTCTTTTTAAATTCTATGTATACTTTTTTAAATTTGGTTTTTAATTGGACACAATACCTTTATTTATTTATTTTTATGTGGTGCTGAAGATTTAACCCAGGGCCTCTAATGTGCTAGACGAGCACTCTACCCCTAAGCCATAACCCCAGCCTTCTACATATACTATATTTATAATGATTACTTTTCTTCTCTTACAGATTAGTAGTAAGCTTTAATTATTATAGTCTTCACTTTATAGTACTTTGCATACAGTAGACACGTTATTTTAAGTAAATACATAAAGGGAAGTGCTTTGAACAGGAAATTTATAGCTCTCACTTCTTGTTTTATTGTATTATGTTTTTAACTGAGTGGCATGAATATTTCTTTCTTTTTTTTTAAAAAAATTTTGTTTTAGTTGTAGTTGGACACAATACCTTTATTTTATTTTTATGTGGTGCTGAGGATTGAACCCAGCGCCCCACCCGTGCTAGGCAAGTGCTCTACCGCTGAGCCACAATCCCAGCCCCTATGAAAGTTTCTTTATATTTTTGTGTCTTAGTGGAGATAGTTCATCTGTAAAATCTGAGACTTGAAGGCCAGTTGCGGTGGCACACTCTTGTAATCCCAGCAACTTGGGAGTCTGAGACAGGAGATTCGCAAGTTCAAAGCCAGCCTCAGCAATGGTGAGGTGCTAAGCAACTCAGTGAGACCCTGTCTCTAAATAAAATACAAAATAGGGCTGAGGATATGACTCAGTAGAAATTCCAAACGCAGAACAATCAGTGGTACCAAAAAACTAAGTTCAATCCCTGGTACCAAAAAAAAAAAAAATA